ACCTTCCCTCATGTTATATTCCACAACCTTCCCTCATGTTATATTCCACACAATCAAGCTATGCTGCCATGTCTTTATTTTACATTACCTTGCTTGGTCTTGACTTAAGATGAAGCAACACCATTAACTCCACTTTCTTCCCACAAATGCTGCCAGACCTGCTGAGTTTCTCCAGGGCTTTCTGTTTTTGTTTCAGATCTCCAGCATGCACAGTTCTTTGTTTTATATTATTGATTCAAGTTTACTTCCTGATTGTTTCTGTTACGTACTGAACTCTAAATAGCCACTAATTTAAAAATAACGTTTCTAATTTTCAGCTTTTTCTTTTGTTCAACCTCAGCCAGCTTCCCAAATGCAAGTGTAGGCCATGAGCCTGACCCTCCTTATTATCTGCTCCTATGTTTTCCATGCATCCGATTCTCTCCACTCCATTTAGCCACAACTGTCTTGTACTCGGTAATAATTTTTAATCACATAACACTCAAACCAGAACCAATTTGCTGCTCAACTGCCGTTTCTATTCTTTCATCTTCTGCCATTACTGACCCCATGCTGTGTGATTGCTTGTACACTGAAAGGTAATTGACCTGAAACATCGACTCTATTTCTCTCTCTACATATGCTACCTGGCTGGCTGGGTGTTGTCCAGCGTGTTCAGTTTTTTATTTTAAACGTAAAGGTGACTGTACTGAGAAAAATATGATCTAACGCACTGCTTTATTTTAAATGGGTGACTCTCCTACCTTGTACGGGGCACATCGATGTTTGAAGAAACAACTTTTCTTTTCTGATCTGAAACAACAACAGAGCGCATGTGATCCTTCTCGTGATCCTGAATCCAGCTGATCTTTTTGGTTTCCAGAATTTTCATAGCTTCAATCTTCCTCACTAGGGGTAGCTGCTGTTCCAACACCTTCTGGTGGTTCTCTGTATGGCTTTGATCTTGCAATGACACAGCTGATGATGTGTCTCGACCATTACAATTCAGCTGCAGGAACAATGCACAACATCCAATTTATTTAAACACTTAAATGCATGTTCATCCACCGACAAAACCTCTAACGATATACCATAAAGGATACACCATACAAGTTTGGTTTTATAAGTTCTACCACTATTTTATCTTATCTAATATTGGTGAACAATAGCGGTGAATTTTAATTCCAAACTTCTTCCTGCCATTTGTTGTAAATATAGGCATACCGAATATATTAATAAAAATAACAAAAGACCCATCTTCCTGCAGCCCATTTACAATGCATTCTATCGTGGATCAAATCCTTTGATACATCTGAAATAAAAGTATAATAATTACCTTATCATTGTTGAATTTTCTAGAACTATCATCATAACTTAACTACACAATCCTGATCAGCTGTCCTCAATAGACAATGTTCCTCACAGACAGAATTAGGGGATTCAAATGTTCCTTGGAATATTCATTAATTTTAATAGTTAAAATAATAAATGCAAATTGTCCAAATAAGTGCAAATATTTATTCTTTCCTATCTTCACTGAAAACGATTAAGACAAATCAGGAACATTCTGAAAAGGCTATCTTCATAAACTTATAAAACATTCATGGCAATGAACTCTGCAGCCAAGTCAAATATTTTACTGTGCATGTATCCTGCTACAATAGATTTGCATGTGCACTCTCACCTTCTTTCAATTGATTTTTCAGTGTCAAACTTCTCTGTTATTAATTAATTATAAGCAAATTTATTCAAGAGAAGATTTTTGTTATGGATTATTGGAAGGAATTTGCATACATATCAATCTTTAAACAAAAAGGAATCAACTCATTAAGATGAAATATCCAGTAAAACCTCCTCCATCAGCAAACACCATGTGAAGTAGAAGTTAAAACAGTAGATTTTCAAATCAGTAAATAACAGCAAAGTGACCTCAACCAAACAGAAAAAAAAACAAAGAACTGTAATACTGAACATTCACCTTAATACTATGTCCAATGTTATAATCTGATCTCTCAGTAGTCCACGAAGCACCTATTTTCCATCAGATACATATAAATAAATCTGAAATACCACTAAAACAATAACAGTTCCTGCAATTTGCCAGCATGCAGTGCAGATCCACACATTCATACTAATAGTTTAGCTCGGGTAGTTTAGAGAAGTGGATTTACAGAGCCTTACAAAAGATTGGTATGAACAGTTTCAGCCCATTGATTTACTTTTTCCCTTTTGTTTTAGGTTTATGATTAGAACCTTTACAAGTTATGGGGGTCATTGGCTGGCCAGCATTTAATGCCCATCTCTAGTTTCCCTTGAGAGGGTGGTGGTGAGCTGCCTTCTTGAACTGCTCCCGTCCCTGTGTTGTGGGTATGCCACAATATGTTAGGGAGGGAATTCCAGGATGTTGACCCAGCGACAGTGAAGGAATGACAATAGCTTTCCAAGTCAGCGTGGTGAGTAGCTTGGAGGAAACTTGCAGGTGGTGGTATTCCCATGTATCTGTTGCCCTTGTCCTTCTAGATGGATATGGTCATGGGTTTGGAAGGTATTGTTCTCATATGCATGCTAGTAGCACAGCTTAATCTCCCTTTTCTTGTGCTTTTGGGAGGAAGGAAAGAAAAGGTTAAGGGTTGTCAGATAAGCTGGCTGTAACACAGGATGTCTGTGTACATCCACAATACACTTACAGCCATTTCTAAAGAAGGAGATTCAGGCAGCCTAAGTTTTAGAGAATCAACAAGGGGGTGTAGCTGACTAACTTGCAACTAACTTATTCCACAGAGGTGGGGGAAGCCTTCAAGAATGCGCTTCTGCAAATAATGGGAAACAGTTGACGGGGAGTGTGGTCAATGCCCAGAGTGCTGAAAGAACGTACTTCCTACTCAGATGGTTAAAGTGAGTCAATGTATCCACACATTACATTTTAAAACCACACTGCTCAATCTACCACAGTCCCATCACTTACCCAACACTCAGAACTCATCCCGTACACACTGTATCTCACCAAAGCATGCCAGCCACACATGCAACTCTGCACACTGTGCAAAACTACAGCTGGTCAGGCAGATCACCTAATCAGACTGAGAACACAATCACTGACATTCCACATCTCTCTTCCTCTATAACTACAGGAAGATCATTGGATCAGCTCGCTCACATCCCCTCAAGTTGGAGACTTAAAATATCACAGAGTTGAGGTCATCCAACATGATAGTTGTTGCGAGTTCATAATTCACATGTCTTGGAATATCCATTCAGTTTTGGGAATCAAAATTTTCACTGTAGATAATTGAGGGAATCAATTTGAGAATCAGATAAGCAACTATGGAGTGAATGCGATTCAAACAAGCTTGGAGCTACTTAAATCTAAAATCTACTAACCTATGTATACCTTAGAGGTCATGGGTGAGAAATAAGCATTAATCTTCTACCAAAGCATAAAAGAACGAGAAGGATTATGCTTATTTCATTAAAATATTTAAAGTAGCCAACATCAGATTGTAAACAAGATAGTTCCTTAGCAGGGCCAGCAATTCTGGAAAAGGGAATCGTAAAAAATTATAAGCCACATAAATTATTCATATCTGTCATAAAATCAAAGGGTGACACTAAGATAAAATGATTTGTTTTCATTCCAATCCAACAGCATTCATTTCCACAACAGCATTAAGTGCATTCATGGAGATGACAGGTGGTGTTGAAGGTACATTTGTTTCACTTAGTTGCTGACAGAAACAGGCAGTTTGATTTGGGGAACAGAACGGTGTAGTTTCAGATACTCTGTGAGGTAGCCTGTAAAGCACTGGATTGAGATAGTCACAGGAGACAATAGTCTCTTAGGCCTGCGTTTCAAGCAGAGAAAACATTAACTCCGTTGTTCACCATGTGGGAGGTGGACAGGGCTTCAAGTTCAGTCAAAATAAAGCAATGTGCAAAATTTTCACAAGTCTATCTGGGCAGGAGAAGGGTAGGACCAGCAGATGTCCTTAATGACAAGTATAACACATTACAGTGCGAACGAAAGCAATTAAATTTTTTAATTTAGTTGTCAAATTTAAATCATCTTCTCAATACTGACTTTAAAGAGCTATAAGAAGCAATGCACTGTGGGTGCTCAAATTTGAAATGAAAATCATTGTTCAGAAGAAAATCACATTCAACTCAAAGTATTAACTGTCTTTCTCTCACCACAGACGCTGCCAGAACTGCTGAGTATTTCAGCATTCTCGTTTTTATCCATAGTAGCCTGGCACTAAAAACGCACTGCTGAAATTCTTCAAAAATCCTACAAAATGAATAGGGCAGCACATTTATGTTTAACAACTTAATCAGATGTTAGAAAGTTGGTGAGCTGTTTGCAAGTCAACAACAGAAGCACTGTAGAGAATGCACTTTCTAAATGCACAGTACGCTTGCGATTATACAAGTTACAGCACCAATCTTTTAGTCAACGATTAAACTCTGAATGATTCCAGGCTTTTTTTTTTAAATGAATTAACTCTTCTTTCTGCAAAACACCTTGCCCAACTGAGAATACAGCCTGAAGATTTACTACTGAGTTTGCAGCAGTGTTGTTCTACACTCTTACACACCCTATAAATGTTGTGCCAAAGGAACCTGGGCCAAATCTTTCTTCACTTTACCCTCCCTTCCCTAGCAGGCCTTTTGAGCTGTTCGAGCGCGGAACTACACTATGTCACGTAGAATCATAAGACCGAATCCCCCAGAATACCAATAAATGTCACAAGATATTGAAGCTTTAGCTCTCAGTTGTTACACCATATCAAAACACAATTATTAATTTTCACAGCTGCTTTTCAATATAAATTGTGCTCACTATGCTGATATTCAAGACATTCCAGTTCTAAAGATAACACATAATATGGGAGAAAAGATGAGAACAACATATACATGTGGTTGCTAAATTATTTCATAAAATCAATCAAAGGATGTCAGCATTGCTGGCAAACTATTTATCCTTGAGAAGGTGGTAGTTAATCACCTTCTTGACATGCAATCTATTGATTTAGAGTCAGAGTCATACAGCATGGAAACAGACCCTTCAGTCCAATTCGTCCATGCCAACCAAGTTTCCCAAACTAAACTAGTCCCATTTGCCTGCATTTGGCCCATTTCCCTCTAAACCTTGCCTTTTCATATACCTATCCAAATGTCATTTAAATATTGTAACTGTACCTGCGTCTACCACCTCCAGTGGCAGTTCATTCCACATAGGAACCACCCCCTTTGTGAAAAGGCTGTCCTTCAGGTCCCTTTTAAATCTTTCCCCTCTCATCTTAAAAATATGCTCTCTAGTTTTGAACTCCCCCACCCTAGGGAAAAGACCTTTGCTATTCACGTTATCTATGCCCCTTATGATTTTCTAAACCTATGTAAGGTCACCCCTCATCCTCCTATCTTCCCGTGAAAGAAGTCCTTGCCTTTTCCAGCCTATCCTTACAATTCAAACCCTTCAGTCTTGGTAACATCTTTGTACATCTTTTCTGAACCCCCTCCAATTTAACAATATCTTTCCTATTGCAGGATAACCAGAACTGTACACAGTACTCCAAAAATGACCTCACCAATGTCCTGTACAATCTCAGCATGATGTGCCAACTGCTTTACTCAATGGTCTAAGCAATGAGGCAAGCATGCTAAATGCCTTCTTAACCACCCTGTCTACCTGAGATGCAACCTTCAAAGAACTACGTTATTTACATACAACCACAGTGCTCTCAGAGGTATGGAGTAAGTTCCAGGATTTGAACCTGTAATTATTTTTTCTTTGCTCATGGGGCCTGGACATTGCTGACTGGGCCAGCATTCACTGCTCATCCTTGATTGCCCTTCAGAGCTGCCTGTCTCATCAATAAGATGCTGAGTGGGACAGCCTAATGCAGATAAATGGACAAGTTGTCTATATTCTGAACAATGGACAGCAAGCTCTTCCCAATGATGAAAGAACAGCAACATAGTTTCAAATTAGGATGGTATGCAACTTGGACGTGGTTGTGTTTTCAGATCATGGCTCTCCTTATTCTTTTAAGCAAGTGAGGTTTTTATCCATAAGATATAGGAGCATAATGAGGCCGCTCAGTTCATCAAGTCTGCACTGTCATTCGATCATGGCCAATATGTTTCTCAATCCCATTCTCCTGCCTTCTCCCCGTAACAATCAAGAACTCATCTTTGTCTTAAATACACTCAATGACTTGGCCTCCACTGCCTTCTGCAGCAGTGCGTTCCACAGACTAACCACCCCCTGAATGAAGAAATGTGGTTTGAGGAGGTGTTGTTACAGAAGTGGTGTCATTTGTGGCTGGTACACACTGCTGCCGTGGTGCACAGTATCATTTCTGATTAGGATTTTTCATGATTTTCAGTCCCCTCCTCCAGAAGGTGGACAGCATTCCATCATACATCCGACTCTTCCCTTGTAGATGATGGACAGGCTTCAGAGAGTCAGAATGCAAGTTACTTGATGCAAAATATTCACCCTCTGACCTGTTCCTGTAACCTACATGTATGTATATGGGTAGACACTATTGTCTACCACCAATGATTGATGTGGGAAAACTGAAGAACTTTCATCTGATCTCTTTGTTGTAGGGTAGCTTAGCTGTACCTACAGCATGTAAAATTCCATGCTTAGTGTTATAGATTCATCAGGTTGGCACCTCATTTTCATATCCATCTGGTGCTGCTCCTGTCCTGCTCCTCAATGCTCCCCATTGAACAAAGGTTGGTCCATTGGTTCGATGGGAATGATAACAGTCAGTGACATGTCAGGCCATGAGATTATAAATGGCATGAATTACAATTTTGTCTGTCCTTACTGCATATGAATGCCTAGTTGTTCATCTATTACGAATCCATCACATTTAGTAAAATGGTAATGTCAGAGAACATGTCTACAGTGGCAAGACAGGACTTCAACATCACAAGGTGTTTTGATCACTCCTACCAGCACTGTCATTAACAGATATACCTGCAACTGGTGTACTGGTTAGGACCAGGTCAAGCCGATTTTCCCTCATGTTGCAACCTGCAGCAGACCCAATCTGATAATAATCCTATAGCATACTACTTTTATGTTGAAAAACTCAGCCAGCACTGTCAGCATTGGTGCTACAAGCAGTCATGGTATTGGATACTGACATCTCCCACTCTGCTACCTTGCCACCCTCAGTGCTTTCAAAAGTGGTAATCAAAATAGCGGAGAATCAACCAATTCATCAGATGGAGGATTTAGGTGGTCATCAGCAGGAGGTTTCCTTTTCTTGTTTGACCCAAGACTTCATGAAGTCTGGACTCACCTCCCCTTGATCTACTACATCACTGCCTCTAGGGGTTTAATGTGCTGCATATACCCAGGAATAAGTAATGAAGACGTCTGGGATATTGTTAAAAACTGTGATTTCCAGTAATGTTAAGCTGATGGTCAGTACAGCTTTCATAATTTTGGCACAAGTTCCCAAATATACTTGAGCGCTGCAGTGGCAGTTAATAATTGGAGGGTTTAACTTTGATATCTTTGGTTAATCCTTCGTTAAGATTCTAGTTCCAGAATACTAAAACCAAACTGCACACAATATTCTCAAATACTGTAAATTAATGAGTAATGAACTATCATTATAATAGTGGTGTCAAGCATCATTGAAAAGGAAACAGAAAAGGTAGATTAGCTATGGATCTCAAGAGTCTTCTATGTTTACACTAAGGCCAAGAGTAATTTTCATAAGACGTCTAACTTTGTCCCAAATGCATCCTTGTATGCCAACGCAGCTGGAAATACTGTCAACTACTGCATTAACATTGATCAAAACTGGCAGTCTATACAATTGCACAATTCCGTAGGTGCTATTTTTATTATGTTTTCTTGCGGAAATATTTCCCTTCTGTGATTAAGCAAACATATTCCTTGATTGCAATAGTGAACATTTTAACCACAAGGACTCCACAGAGTATAAACTGACAACAGAGGAGGGAGGCGGAGTCCAGTGCAATGTCCCTTGTGCGCGCCCAGCCCGAAAAGACCAGAAATGCTGAATGTTGCATATTCAATTACTTACTATTATCTGGCCCTGCCCTTCCTCATTCTTCTGGGTTGGGGGCATACCGGGAGAAGCTGGAACGCAGCCCCACCTGAGGGTGCTTGTGTTTCATTCATCCCCAAGGCTTGATTGATGTCAGCATTTAATTACAGCACAGCAAACTAGCACACACTGCAGCTGCCCTACAACAAAACCCAGGTTGCTAACAGCGAGGGATCTCCGATCGCAGTATTTTTGGCGCGAATTTTTCTGAGATTTCCGATGGGTATTTATTGATCTTCCTGTTTGCTGTTGTGTGCGTGGAGCTGAGCTACTTGCACACAGTCTGAAGCCTTCACTGCACATCAGAAAGGGAATGAGAGCCCTGACAGACCCCAGACACTGGTCTCTGCACTTTTACATCTGATTGCTTTCACGCTTTTGCGTCCTGACCGGGAGAAAATAATCACCTCCCTGCACGAAATTCCAAGTCTTAACATTTCACCAAAGGCTGTTGGGGGGGTGGGGGGGGGGGTCACTCTGAATTAGATTCATTGTCACATATATCCAAGTGTCCAGAGGAGAGCCTTGAGCCTCCCAAACGCCCGAGGAGGAGTGAATGAATTGACTCAATCTGGTTGGGCTGCATCTTAGTGGATGGGATGGGGGTCGTTAAGTGTCGCTTTAAGTGATTCTTTGGCCGCTCTCGTGAATGATGTGGCAGCGTAAGCGTGTAGAGGCTAGCAAGCACACACACACACACACAGTTCACGTCCAGTGACATACGCACCTTTTCCCTGCATTTCAGCTGCACTTTGCTGCCGTGGTTATGGAAGCCGGGTCCCACCACCACAATCTCCTCCTCTGGGTATTCCCTCAGGCTGCCATCCTCCAGCATCACCGTGTAGAAGTTGCACCGCCCCCCGGACTCGCTGCTTTGGCATTTCAGCGCCTGGATCACCCCGGGAACGAGTTGCCCATCCCCGGCCGGACTCGGAGCACAGACCCGGCTGCCCAAAATCGACCTCTTTGCAGAACGGCGAGCTTGCATCGCGAGCTTCTTCGCCCCCCTTTTTATATATAGATATATATATATGGCTCGTTTCTATTTTAGGTCATCTAATGCAATTGCAAAATAACGAAAGAAATTGATATATATTAAAAAAACAACCAAGCCCTCACACCGCCCGGCGTTCAGAGCAGAGTTGTTTGTTTTCGTAGCCTTCGCAAAGCTGACGTTGCAACTTGTAAAATTAGGAGTGGATTTCTGCAAAGACACCGGAATGACGGCCCTGTTCATTACTTTCGAAGACGCTTGTGAGATAAATGAGTGAGAGTAATCCCTAATAAACATCAAGAACCCAACGTAATAATTTGAGTAAACAATTAGGAAATCATTTGGTTTCTCGAATTCAAACACTTTCTTTCCCACCAAGTGAACTGAGTTAACAGTAGATTTCTTTTTATCCCGTTCTCATATTATTTAATGACCAGTTGAACATTCAACAGGTTAAAGTAAATACTCACTACCGTGCAGTAAGATAGGTAAAACGGGGTTCAATTTGGAGATTATTGAACAGGATGCATCCGCGTTTGAGTTAGGGTTTTTTTTAATTTGTTGTACACTCCTCAGACATTCTCAGAAATGTCTTGCCTTCTCTGACTGAGGCTGGTCGTCCGATCCGTACTCTGGTGTCAGTGTTTCCATGCTTTCGCTGAGATTTCCTCTGTGTACCGGCGGAATGAGCGCTCTCCGCCCCCTCTGTGTAAACATGTGCAGCTCCAGGTGGTGTCCCAACCCATTGGCTGCACCAGGGCACTCCTCCAGCACTAACTCAATGCACGGAGCTGTCAAAACCGCACAAAGACCTCCTCCAGCACGCTAAACTAATGCAGGGGATACTGTGGGGCATTTGCACCGCCCGGATCTCAGCCTGGTGCTGGGGGCTGGTGTATTCGGTCTCGACACCCGGCGTTGGGGGGTGGTTAGAGGAGAAACGACTCCCGCAGTTGATCATCAGACAATGACCACTTGTGACAAGCACGTCTGTGTGTCTGCTGGAAATTGATTGGGCCTTGATACTCCCATATTTGGCATATGTTGAGAAACTCATTGTTCTGGCCCAAACAAGACAAATACTCTTTTAGTGAGGTGCCAGAAAGTTCTTGTTACGTGTATGACCATATTTCAGCAAAAATGGGGGAATAAAATACTTATTGGGATATTGTCCCAGAAGTTGTTGTATTTCGGATCTAATTCAGTGCAGGGGATCAGCCTTCTGCTGTCCGTTTTTGCTGGTGAATATCTTCAATTTGTTATGTCTTTAACACATGCAGAATTCCATTTAGCTTTTGTACCTTGCAAAATTTTGAGATATTATATTAAAATATATTCTTACATTTCAACTCAGGTTTTTTTTATTAAGGAAGGTGACCTTTTTAGCTGTGGCAGAGCAGAACATATGATAGTGATTAGAAACTTCTCTGGTGGCATTGTATAAAAAGGCAAGCGAGTGATATGTTGCTGAGCTGCTGTTTGTTGCTTTCACCATTAAAGTGACAATAAAGATTTTTAGATGAGAAATAGAAGTTTAAGCAAGATAGCAGGGACCTGCCAATGTTCTGGACTTGTACCCCCATGAACTAACATAGTCAAGGTGGAGAAACAGGAGGTGTTTTTAAATCCAAAACAATTAAAGTAGGACTGCATAATGTTGAGCAACTGTGTTCATGAGGCATAATTTGGTGCTGGTAGTTGACATGAATGCAGTGAAAGTGTTGTGTATCCCTGCTGGTTATTAGTAAATGCTACAAATGTTTGTTTTACTCAGTTTTATTTATTTGTTTTATCACTGATGTCAATGGATAATTAAAAATGTAGTGTAATTGTTTATGTAGCTTTATAATTTATTATAATTAAAGGAGATGTTACGGAGGAGACAGAGAGTAAGAATCAAAATATTTGAATATTTAGTACCTCAGCTATAATTTATTTGTAGTACTGATACCACAGAAAACTAGTAGTTACAATTGCTGAGCAGATAGTTCCTGATACTGAGCGGCAACTATTTTTTTTCTTAATGCTGGAAAGCAGTTTCATTTGTGTTTTTATAATTAAGTACCTTTAATAAATTCTGTACTCTATACATACGAGGTAGCTTTTTTATACAATGCATTTGGCAAAGTTGTATCTTTGTCATGAGGTGAATTTGCGGCAGAGGGTCTCTGTTCATTTTGAAGTTGGGTTTGATTCAAGGAGCAGGGTCAATTGTTGCAATAAGTTATAGCAGAAAGTGAACACAATTAATCACTGCCTGGTGATGACACAGAAGTAAATAACTGAGAGGGAGTAAATCAAAGAACTGTCCAACCCTGTTATACTCTCTTCCACCAGGCAGGAGATCCAAAAGCTTGAAGACACATACCAACAGATTCAAGAACAGCTTCTTCCCTGTTGTTATCAGTCTTATGAACAGACATCTCATATATTAGAGTTGATCTTTCCCTATACTTTCTCTGTAGCTGTAATTATATTCTGCATCTGGTCTATCACCCTAAGGTATGATTTGTATGGATAGCATTCAAAACAATATTTCTCACTGTATCTCAGTACATGTGACAATAATAAATTAAATCAAATCCAATCAAAGGTGAAGGTGCAGAGCTGGATGAACACAGCAGGCCAAGCAGCATCATAGGAGCAGAAAGGCTGACGTTTCGGGCCTAGACCCTTCATCAGAAATGTCAGCCTTTCTGCTCCTATGATGCTGCTTGGCCTGCTGTGTTCATCCAGCTCTGCACCCTGTTGTCTCGGATTCTCCAGCATCTGCAGTTCCTACTATCTCTCTCAATCAAAGGTGAAACAAGTTTAAAGCAAATATAGGAGCACACCACAAAAGGAGGGGAAGAACACAGGCAACGTTTCAATGGGATGTGAGTTAGAAGAGATTAAATGACAGCAGAGGTAATAATGCAAGGCAGAAAGGATTTGGGACGAACAAAAAGCAGAAATAGCTGCAGAAACTCAGCAGGCCTGTGAAGAAAAAACAGAGTTAACATTAACTTTATCTTCTCTCCACAGATGCTGTGAGACCTGCTGAATTTCTGTTTTGTTTGTTTCAGATCTCTAGTATCTGTGGTTCTTTGTTGTGTAAAAAAGGATTTGGGAATGGGACAAGTAAGGAAATAAAAGATGTATCTGGAAGAATTGCTAATGTGCAAATGTAGAATCATTACCAAAAGCTGCCATCCAAAAATAGCAACTGGACTGGAAAAAGAAATGAAGTGGGGACAGAGGTTATGATTTGAAATAGTTGAACTCAATGTTGAGTGCCTAACCAAATATGGGATGCTGTTTCTTGACCTTCATTGGAACAATGTAAGAGATTGAGAATAGGGAGGTCAGAATTGGAGTGAAGAAGAGAATTAAAATCACAAGTGATCAGAAGCTTGGGGTCATGCCTGCAAACTAAACAGAGGTGTTCTGCTAAGTGATCACCCAATCTGCGTTTGGTAAAGCAAACCACAAAACGAGCAGCAAATATTGTTTGCTAAACTGAAAGAAATACATGTATGTACATGCTTCACCTGGAAGGAGTGGGCCTTGCACAATGAGAAAGAATGATAACAGGGCAGGTATAACATTGCCTGTGCTTGCATGGGAAGGTATCACGGGAAAGGGAAATAGTGTCAGAGGGACAGACAAGTGGCTATTGTATTTCTTTGGGATGGTTCCGCAGTCAATGGCACTATATAAATGTAAGTGGTATGTTTTATATAATGAAACCAAGTTAGTGATGTGCAGAACTGTTGTTCTGACATTAGTTAACTGAAAATAAAGGGTTTTTTTTTATAGGGAAAAGGAGCTTGCCACCAGCTCCTTGGGCCAAAGAGAAATTTGTGCGCCCCATATTGGACATGCCTGAATAGTGATGCTTGAGATTCCCCAGCCCCTTCTAACAGTTTGACACAACCTTCTCAAGGGCAATTAGGGACGTGAAATACAGCAAGACTCACATCCCACGAACAAAACAAAACTTTCTTCAGATTAGTAATTAGTTCATGTTCTGCAACAGCAATAGAAACCTTTTAGGGGTGATTTCATGGGCAGCTCATTTGATATTACACCAGTTATGCTGCGCCCAAAGTCAAAATTACTCATTGCTTTCGAGGATTTATTACATTAAAAACATTTTTCTTTTATAAATCTAGTATTTAGTGAGAAATCCATGCTCAGCAAAATGGACTCTTTTTAGGCTAATCTTTGAGAAATAGCTAATGAGGAAATTCTCTGTTACTGCAACTTATTTTTGGCTAGGTATTATTTTTCTGTTGTAACAAAGGCCTTTGAGCGAGACTATAGCAAAAACAGTGTAGCTTATTAATCAGTTTAACATAGTAAAATTGTATATTTTCAGTAGTAAATCCTAAAGGTCTTGTAAGTTGATTCCGTTCTATACATCTTACCTAATCATGTTTGCATCACTTCCAAATAATTTGTATTTTAAGCAAATAAATGACTTGATGTCTTACTTTACTGCAGCTAATTGGTACACAAAATGTTGGTATTCATTTTGGCTTGCTGACAAATTTCTAACATAGACAAAATAAAGGCTCAAGTTTAATATTTATCCTAAATAATATTGGAATATCAGCAGGACAAACAGTGGCTCCTGCTATTAAAATATCTTCGTAGAAACAGCAAACTGATTGTGTTTGATGAGTTAAGATCTGGCAGGTAAATGGTTTCAGATGGAGATGCTAGCAAGCAGAGCCACACAAAAAAAACAATAGAGATGCAGAGAAAGACTCACAAGGTTTCAGAAAAGGAGAAACTCAGGGCTAAATTTGCATCCTGAGATCGGGACAATATAACTCAGATTGGCACCTGACAACCAAGCAGTTTGAGGGAAAGTGTCAACCAGTGGCCAGGGTGTTGGTCATTTAGTATTGATGGAGGTGCAGTGTAAGCAAGAGATCCATTATTGTGGATCCTAGCTGAGGAAATGGATGAAGGAGGAGAGCAAATGGACAAACACCAGTGCTAATGTGATCTTGAAATCTAAAGATGCTTGCATGAGGTACTTTTAAAGGCAGTAGTATCACAAGATGCCATCACATTCCTGGTGGATCACAGACAGTGGCTAGCCAGGCAGATCAATTAGACACGCCTGGAGGTGGCAGCTGTCATCTAGTGAGGATTTCCGGGGTAG